GGGTCATTCCATGTCAATTCAGCAGGCAAAATATTGAAATGACACCATACCTCTTAGATTTGGCTCAAAATCTAACAAAACACTATTCCTGGCAAGGTTATTCCAGTCTCCAAATTTGATGCTTATAAGTTATACGGTTTTAGAGCTATAAGTGTTTCAATTTTGCTAAAAATACCCCAAAAAACCCTTAAATCCGCCATTTTGAATTTGCGGTCATGAAAAATTTAGAAATATTTTTACCAAAGCGTAAGTTTCTTTGTACCTACAGATTTGAAAATTTGGATTCTGGTATTTTAAGGTATGAGGATTTCAAAAAATCAATCAGAACCATCATTTGACTTAAGGAATACCTTCTAATTGATATCAGATTATGACATTCCAAAAATATGTGAATAACGAAAATGCAAAAAGTTAAAAAGCTTGAGTAAATTTTTCTCTATTTCTGATTAGTGTTACCAAAATGAGTTTTGGCATGGTGAATCATCATGCCTTACACTGTATAAAAACGTAAGGATGATGTTGGTGTCTCATCTCAGTATAGAGCTAGCTACCTTGGAAAAAGAGGGAAAATTTTTGAAAACTAGGTTTCAAAAACATGAATAGTAAAGAAAATTCTGACCCAAACTGTATGTGATCTCTAGCTATTCTTGAATCAATGAGCTAAAGGTTGCAACACATTTCAATGCTAATGTGTCAAACCATTTCTTTTCTTTATGTGCAGAAGTTAGATGTGCACAATGAGTTTATTGTGATGTCAGTTTTCTGAATAAATAATTTCAGTGTATGAATAGACAAGTGTGAAATCCTTAGTGCATGCTAAATGAAGGTGTTGTTAAAGCAATTAAAAATTATTGTCCATGTATTATCCCTAGACAATAAAACTTTCTATTGAAGAATGGATTGAATAAATTGAATGAGTTGAAATTGAGAAATAGCCACACTTTCCTTAGATTCAGAAGAAAAATACTTTGAAAGGTCATTAACTTTTGTTTAAAACTTCATGGAAGAAAATTGCTCAATAAGGACAGAATATAAAAGGTGAACAAGAAACCAGTTTAACTAAAATTTTTGAGTAATAAGAAGAAGGTTAAGGTAATGTCTTCAAATGACAACCTTGAAAGATGTTTCATTGGAAAAAATCTTGAAGAGAAGTGCCACCTACTTACTTATACAAAGGTAGCTGGATTAAAACCCCTTGAACTTCTAAACGATGAAGAAAAGGATTTGGTTTCAGTGAGATCAGGAGTTGTACCAGGCAAAGGAATGACAATATGCTTTCATCATGAGCAAACTCTCTTAAAGCAGTTCACTTCATTGCAAAGGAGTTGTTGTGACCCATTTGTAAGACATAAAAAGGCAGTTAAAGGATGTTCACGGGAAATAACACAAGCATTGGCTAAGGAATTGCAGCAGGTTAATGTTGAAGTGGTGCCAGGTTGGAAGCTTTGCCCAACATGTCGTAGAGAGGTTTCAAAAAAACTGGCAAATGTTAATGAGGGGGAGACACTGCAGCCTGAATTGTACGATGGGATCCTCCAAGAAACCAAAGAAACTGAGTTGCTAGAAGAGCTTCACAGAGATGAGGTGCGAGAAAAACTCAATTCTAGCTTGGAAGAGATGGATGTTAGCCCCATAAAACTTCATGGAGTTGCATCTCACTCTAGGCCTGCGTATGGAAAGCGCAAGCTTACACAAATTGAAAGCAGACTGCAAGAACAGAAGAAAGTTATCCAGAAACAAATATCGGAAGCTATGAATGTGACAACCGAGTCAATCCAGATCTCAGAACCATCAATACCAGACAACTATGATGAAGTAAAGAAGAAAGCAGATGATCTGGATATCCTTGTGGCATTGATGAAAGAGAAACTCAAAGTCTCAAACAGAGGACAAAGACTGCAAATTTTAACACTTGCACCTCGGTCGTGGTCTATTCCGAAAACCATGGAAGAATTTGAAGTGACAGCTTACATGGTAAGACAAGCAAGGAAGCTAGGTGCTGAAAAAGGAATACTGGGAACGCCAAATGAAAAGAAAGGGAAAGTCATTTCTGAAGATTTAAAACAAAGAGTTGTTGCGTTCTATTGTGATGATGAGTACAGTCGTCAAATGCCAGGAAAAAAAGACACAGTCAGCATCAGAAGAAATGTCCCTGTCCAGAAAAGGCTTCTTTTGTGTAACCTTAAAGAGCTGTATTCTCTCTTTAAAGTCCAAAATCCTGAAGTGAAGATCGGCTTCTCAAAGTTTTGTAGTTTACGGCCAAAATGGTGTGTATTGGTTGGTCGATCTGGCACACATTCTGTTTGTGTTTGTACAATTCATCAAAATGTTGAACTTATGTTGGCTTCTGTCAAGTTAAGCAAAGATCGTCACCAGCTTATGGATATGCTAGTTTGCAACAGAGATTCGAAGCAGTGTATGGTACATCGCTGTAAGAGCTGTCCACCTATGCGAAATCTGGAAGAGTATTTGTTGCAGCAATTTGAAACACAAAATGACAGTGAGGAAGAAGATGAAGATAACATTGAAGAGCAAATCATCCAGTTTCAACAATGGACGACTGTTGATCGTGCTGAACTTGTCAGTCAGTCACTTCCTGTTTCTGACTTTGTCAATTTACTTGCCGAGAAGCTTAACAATTTGACATCACATTCGTACATCGCAAAGTCACAGATGCAATATTTGAAAAAATGCAAAGAAAACCTAAAGGAAAACGAACTTATTGTCTTAGGGGACTTTGCTGAAAATTATAAATTTGTAGTGCAAGATGAAGTCCAAGGGTACCACTGGAACCAGCAAGGATGCACTTTGCATCCAGTCATCATCTACTTCAAAAAGGACAGTGAATTGAAGCATGTGGAACTGTGTTTCATTTCGGATGATCTAAACCATGATACATCTTTTGTTTACGAAGTCATTTGCCAAACAATCAAGTTTGCAAAGTACAATATTTCAAACAATGTAAAACGATGCCTGTACTTCAGTGATGGTTGTGCTGGGCAATATAAAAATTGCAAAAATTTTATGAATTTGTGTTTGCACAAAAAAGATTTCCAAATTGATGGTAGTTGGTCATTTTTTGCTACCAGTCATGGTAAATCTCCGTGTGATGGACTCGGAGGGACACTCAAACGATTAGCAGCAAGGGCCCGTCTTCAACGACCAACTACTGAGCAAATACTTTCTGCAGAGCAGCTACTCGAATTTTGCCAAAAGGAAATACCTGGCATTAAAGTTCTTTTCATTTCCAAGCTCAGTATGGAATCTGTGCGAAAGAATTTAAAGGGCAGGTTTGATTTAACAAATACACTGCCAGGAACTCGAAGCTATCATGAATTCAATCCTATTTCAGAGACTGTAATGGCTGCTAAACGAGTTTCAGTGGATGAAGAGTATGCAATTCAGTATGACTTAGTCAAAGGGAAAGAGTGCCTGCCAGAGGAGGATAGCATTGAGATTAAAATTTCAGACTTCATTGTCTGTTATTATGATGAAGAGATTTGGATTGGACTGGTAGATGATCTAGATGATGAAAATGAGGATGCTCAAGTCAAATTCATGCATCCAAATTACCCATCAAGATCTTATTCCTGGCCAAGAAGAGAAGATATTTGTTTCGTGCCTTTTGTAAATATTATATGCATAATAAGCACTCCAAGCACAGCAACAGGAAGACAGTACGTTCTAAACAACGAGGACAAAATAAAGATCGAAAGTGAAATTAATGCACATAGCTTGTATTTAAAGCCATAGTAATATACTAATAATAATAACAATTATTATATTATTTTATAATTATTATAACATAGTAATAACAATTTTTATCCCAAGCAAGCATGAATTTTCAAGCGTTTGAGCAAGGATTTTCAGAGTTTATATCTATTTTATATAAATTCCTGCACAACAAGAAATGGAATCTTGCCCTTTTTAGTGTTCCCAAACATAAATTTTCAAAAATTTTCCCTCTTTTTCCAAGGTAGCTAGCTCTATACTGAGATGAGACACCAACATCATCCTTACGTTTTTATACAGTGTAAGGCATGATGATTCACCATGCCAAAACTCATTTTGGTAACACTAATCAGAAATAGAGAAAAATTTACTCAAGCTTTTTAACTTTTTGCATTTTCGTTATTCACATATTTTTGGAATGTCATAATCTGATATCAATTAGAAGGTATTCCTTAAGTCAAATGATGGTTCTGATTGATTTTTTGAAATCCTCATACCTTAAAATACCAGAATCCAAATTTTCAAATCTGTAGGTACAAAGAAACTTACGCTTTGGTAAAAATATTTCTAAATTTTTCATGACCGCAAATTCAAAATGGCGGATTTAAGGGTTTTTTGGGGTATTTTTAGCAAAATTGAAACACTTATAACTCTAAAACCGTATAACTTATAAGCATCAAATTTGGAGACTGGAATAACCTTGCCAGGAATAGTGTTTTGTTAGATTTTGAGCCAAATCTAAGAGGTATGGTGTCATAGCCCATTTGAATTGACATGGAGTGACCCTCCATTGAATAATTATAGCTATTAGTATCCTTAAATTTATCATAAATTAAAAGATATAGCATTGGAAAAGTCTTTTCTGTTGCAGCATTCGGATAATCTAACTATATTTTCATTTTACTTTAAGGTTTATGTCTCTGGTGGACTTTCAGTATATCACACCAAAGCCATTGCAGAATGCATTTTCAACTGTGGAGACAAGCAGTCTATTAGATGAACAACAACCACTTCACATTGTACCTGCAATTTTTTCAAGAATTGATGTGCAAGGAAGCTACAATTATCACCCTGAGACCTTTAATAGGCTAGGAACAAAAGGGAACCCTGCACATAGGGAATCTCTAAACCCAGAGGAAGAAATACCTCATCAGTAAGTAAACCTAATTTTTCCAATTAAAGTATTATATAAACCAACAGATTATTAGGTGCGCAAAAGCTTGTGTTCATCTTGGTGCTGCCCTTACATCCTGAGAGGGGGCTTGCATTGGTCCACTACAGCCTGCAATACATGCTCAATTTTTTCGCCAGTTTTTCTTGAGAATCAAGATATGTAAAGTTTTTTACTGTTACAGCAAAACTTTCAGTGATTAACTTTTCAGACACACGGACCATTACCAAGGGGTGGTTTTCACACCAATTAACAGATTATCTATGACATACTTTGAGTGAGTAATGATATTTTGTGGCAATTTGGGATCGAAAAACTTTCAAAAGTAAATTGGTATAAATACAAGCTTAAAAATGACTACAAAACGAAAATGGTTGTAATGAGCATTTTGAGCAAACTGAATGCTTGTGTTAGGAAACATAACATAGCTTGTGGAATGTGATGTTACTACTCTGGACCTTGCCTATCGTATTATCTTTGACATGGTATTCTGAAGCTCACTTCTATTATGATCTACTACTACTACTACTTAGACGTCACACGCAGTTAATACTGCACGACGCGTTTCACAATGCCACGCCATTTCATTCTATCCTGTGTCAGTTCAGATAATCTATTCAATGTTTGTGCTTCTTTTGAGAGATCCAGTTTAATTCCAATGCTGGCCAAATTTTGCCTTACTGTCTGCATCCAGGTCGTCTTTGGTCCTCTTTGTGGCCGTTTTATTTTCCTGAGATACTCTTTAAGGGTTTTCCTTGCTGGTGTTTCTGGGTGCAAGTGCATGAGATGTCCTAGCCATTTTAGTCTCCTTTCTCTTATTATTTCACTCCATGGTTCATATTTCGCTCTGACATGGAGCTCGTCGTTGGTAATATTTCTTTGCCAGTTAATCCTTAGGATCTTTCTTAGATGTCTACGTTGGAAGGTGTCGGTGGTGTTTTCTAGCTTCTTCGTTAGTGTCCAAAGCTCGCTATTATACAAAAATACACTTGCTACATAGGCTTTTAAAGTTCTCAGTTTGATCTTGATAGAGTTTTTCCTGCTGCTGAAAATGCTGTTGAGCGTTTTGTAGGCATCAACTGCTAATATCTTTCTTCTGTTGATGTCTTTTTCTGTACCTAGTAGACTTCCTAGAACTCTGCATTCTTTCCATGCTTCATTTCCCTTTTGCTCGATGTTATATTCTTCCGTTTTTGATTGATTCATTCGCAGGTTTCTTTCTTCAAGTTTACCAGCAATGGTTTCTTTTGATAGGATCTATTCGATGTTTCGCAATAGATGCCCATGTGATGTCATCAACATACTGAGGGTTTATTTCAAAGTAGTTGCTCTTTCTGGATGGATCTGTTGCTGCCTTCTCGGTATTCATGGATCTGGCAAGGTAGAAGATGAAAAGTACTGCACTTAGACAGTCACCATGTGCATCCCTTTTTCTGTTTAGATGTTTTCACCTTTCTCTTTTCCGACTTTGACTCGCAAGTTTACATCCTTTACCAAAAGGGACATCATGTGTAGATTGTCGGGTTGAAGTATTTCTTGGAGGTCTTTTGATAATTTTCCGCGGCTTACCGTGTCGAAGGCCTTACTCATTTCTAGCAGTAAAAGGTAGATGTTGTAGTTGCTGGATGTTATTTCTTTCTCTGCTAGCATCTTGATTGCAAAAACCTGTTCGGTCGTGCTTCGCCCAGCTTGTTAAGCAGCTTGTCCGATTGGGATTTCAGTGCTGATGCGGACCCAACATCTTCTAATCATACAGATGGCAAGCAATTTTCTTAGTACAGATAACAGTATGATTGGTCGTAGATTTGAGGGCTGAGAGGTTTTATGATGCCTTGTTTGATCTGTTCTGGGTATTCTCCTGTGCTTGCCATGTTGTTCAGCAGTTTGGCCACGCCTTCATGTATTTCCGGTGGTCCGTACTTTACAAATTGTGCATTTAGGTTATCATCTCCTACGCTTTCCCCGTTCTTTAAACTTTCTGCTGCCTTTTGTATTTTTTACGCCAGTAAAGGGTGTTTTCATTTCACAAGGTGGTATCGTTGGGAGCAATTCTTTCGTTTCCATCGTGCAAAAATGTTTGAAATGTTCCGTGATTAAAGTTATCTGTTCTTTCTCAGAGCCAGCAATGCTGCCATCCTCTCCTTGTACGACGAGGGGTTTCTTCGGCTTTTTATTATGATGATAAATCGTCTGTATATAACTTAACAGTAGTCTTCTACCTATATCCGGTTTCAGTTCCTAAAGTACAATTATAGTTTTTCTCAAAACCTTTTATTTCATAACTCTACGATTTCTTGGAAAAGCCTCTCATTTCTCAGTATTCTCCTTCTGATAAATTAAATCTACCTATCCTCCCAACGGTATTTCTATTCTCATTCGAATAGCCTATTTGATTTTTGCATAAATTACTCTATGTTCTCCTGGCTCCACTCTAGTAAAAAGCTCTTTGCTACTATTTGTCCTAAAAAACTCGTTTGTTGATATCAGAAGGTTTAAAAATAATTTTATTCAAATAATCATTTTTTTAAGTTCTTCTATTGAAGAGTTTTGTTTAATAAACATATCCTATAACTAACCGTAAAGTTTCTAGGGTTGGTGATACCTCAATAGTATGACATTTCTTGCAGGCAATCAGATTCTCGTATGCGGAAAAGGCGACCAAGTGAGGCTATGGCTGCCATATTCACATCCAAGGAAGTACCACAAGAACCAGGCGCTAAATGTAGAGAAATCGTCGATAGTACGAAGAAAAAGTTCAGTTGGGTCGAAAGTTCGTTGGAAGAATTGAGAGAGCTGTTTAGAGAGCGTCCTATGTGGTCTCGTACGGCACTTGTTTGTCATCTGAGCACTGAAATAAAAAACGAGAGGCTTAAGCAACTTTTGCCGTATGTGGCATTCTACTGGCTGAATGGGCCTTGGCGAGCCCTGTGGAATAGATTTGGCTACGATCCTCGTAAACTTCCTGAGGCAAAAATGTGAGAAATTTTTAGTATTTCGTACAGTTTTTCGATTTATTTAGTTTGTTTTTATTATGACGTCTCACATATTACTTCATAGCCTTTATTTAAATATGTGATCATCATTGTCATGGAGAACATTTTCTACTTTGATGCGTGATCATCATAGTTTTGTAAAAAGCCCCTGTTTTGCAACTCAGTCTAAGTCAGGCTCTTGGCTTTGCTAATGCAGGAGTAATGTTATAAATTTTCTATCTCAAATGGTGTCTTGGTGTGTTTGTCAAGCTTATTGAATAGAATAAATCAGCAGATATTTAAAACTATCCAGCACAGAAAGACTTCACAAAAACCCCCAACTCAATCTTCCAAAAGCTATATAGAGTCCAAATTGGGGTTCATGCTTCCTTTGATCAGGAACTTTGTTCATTCTTTCCTAATCTGGATCTGGTTGATGTTCTTTGAAATAACCAAACTCACTGCCAACGTACGACCGCCTTGACTTTGTGGTTTTGCTGCTGGGAATAGTGACATCAGTTTGATAACTCATTACCTACACGTTCGGTACCATTTTACAAAAGTTTAAATATTTCAAGTCTCAATTGGTTTGGTGCTTTTCCCCGAAATTGCAACTTAGAAATTCTTAGCCATGCGAACTAGGCCAAAAGATCTAGATAGAAAATTGAACGTTATTCAGAATTAGTTTTAGCATTTTATGAAAAACACTGAACTTAAATAAACAACGCTAAATGTCACTGAGAATTTTTCGGAGCCGCCATGTGAATCCACTAGCCAGAATGTTTGATTCTGGTCAATCGAAAGTTTAGTTTGTCTGACTTTTGGTTTAGATAATGAGCACATTTGGGATTATCTTGGGTCGCTTTTATGTTGACGTTTGCATTCTGCCTATTGTGAAAATTATTCTGTTTTGAGTAGACGAGGCAATTTGGTTTCACATAAGGAGTTCCTAGTCCTATTAAGGAGGATAAATTAAGGAAAATAATGTCATTGTTTCGGTTACTGACCTATTTCTAAATAAAACTAGGATCAAAGAAAGATTGAAAAAGGAAAGTGGAAAAGGCAAATAAAGGTCGAGGGACAGAGGTGAGAAAAAAGAAATGTTATTGGAAGGAGGTGAGAGTGAAAAGTAGAAAGAGTGATTGAAAAGGAAAATGAAAAGTAGAAAAGGAAGCAATAAGGATGGAGGATGTAAGATAGAACGAAAGCGGTTTTTTATATGATGTCTTGCAAATGATATGCCATGGTTAGGGAGAAAGGAAATAGGGATATTGGCAGCTCGGAGAAAAGGAATGGAAGAAAGGAAATGGCCTACAGAACTAAAGATCGACTTATTCATTTAGGCTGTTGGTTGAATTATGGTTTATCCAATTAAATCCAATGTTTCCGTTACTAGTCAATATCAGAGTTGCTGAATACTGTTCGTAATTGAAGATCAATTCACAGATCACTGACATTCTTATATATTTTTTTTAGCTATCAGATATGTGATTTTCGTGTGAGGGATAAAAAAGACAGCAAAGGACTGCCAATCTTGCCCCTTCGATCTTCAAGAATTTGCACGCTGCCGGTACAACTACAGCGATATAAAGTGGTACGTGGGAAGTCATCAATTCGCTTCATTTATCATACATATATCGGGAAAAAGAAATTGGGTAAATGTGTCGGTGTAAAGTTTAGTCACTTCCAAAAATTCAGTCAATTTCCCCGAGTATTTGTACGCCTAATTGATCTAATTTGACGCCTTTTAGCCAACCCAGAGTAAGCGCAAGGCCTAAGTGACCAAATATTTGACCGACCAAATATTCGGCAGACCCCGTGTGAATGCACCTTAAAATTTCATAAAAAGGGCAATTAATTTTATGATCATCTATTCGGAGTAATGGTAGAATTTTTTGAACGTAACCATCAGCTAAAAATACAAATAGTTTAGAAAAATAGTTTTTCCGAAAGGTTAGAAAAGGGTTTTAACGGAAGACTTTATTAACTTTGAAAAAATTTTGTCACTTTTCCAGATTTGTTTGCTCGATAAGGGAGCCACAAATTTCATTAGCTGCTTATTTTGTTGATATTGTTCTCTAGCCGTCTTTCTTTACTTAAATCAAGAGAGTTACATAAGGAGCTGTTATGTTGGCGTTACCTGGTAGTGCAAGCCCATTGTCTTCGTTTTATCAACACAACCTCCTATATACGTCTCCTGAAGTAACTGGAAGGGGCCTAGATTTAGTTATTCCTCCTCGTATGTAAAACATTTCACGGATTGTACGGAGATGCAGACCAACTTGACTGCAGACCAATTTGGCTGCAGAGCAATTTTACTGATATTCCTCAAGCATGGTGGCTGCTGCTCAATCTACATCTCGATACATTTGGCGAAGGATGAAGAATGTGAAGCTTTTAATAATGGCTAAGGGGTCGAGGCAGGGTGTTTTTCCCGTGACCGTTTGACCATTGGTCGCTAAAAAATCACAGTTAAAAAAAATAAATCTTCTAATAGTAAATTTTCAACGATGGATAAATAATTTTACAGTTTTATACACTTAGAAGTTAGGCAGTTCTGAAGGAAATAAAATGCTCGCATAAAATTACCTTGCTACAGTGGCAAAGATCAAAACTATGTTTAGCACAGTGATATTGTACTAGGGGAGATCAAGGGGATCAGCTGCCCTTGCAAAAGTAACCAATGACTAATATGAGCATGTATTTTGGAAAGCGTTAGCTGAAAGTATTGGATTTCTTCCACAGATTCTACCATATTTTTCTTAGCCATAGCCAAACGTGTCAATTCTAAAGTTTTTTTATTCATTTTAATGTACATGATGAAATCCATACAGACAGTGCTATACAGAAAGAACCAACATCATAGGTCCCACTCTTTTGCACATTGTTGAAGTTTTAGGAATTAATTTTCATCAAATCGCTTTATTCTTCAAGTCTCAGGAATTGCCATTTTAATGTTCATTCTTTTATGCACGAGTGACAATATTTCCCATGTTTTTCAAACTTTTGAAAGAGTTTTGTTAAAAATGTCCTTTATGGGAAGGGCCACCCAAAGGGAGGCAAGGGGGCAAATTGCCCCATGGCCTCTTGGTCTAGAGAGCCTCATAAAGTAATTAATTCCATTTAAAGAATGGGATTATTCAAACATAGCAAAAGTGTACCTAAAAAAGTAAAATGTTTGAAACGATTGCAAGAAATGACTGCAATAAATATTTTAAAATGAATCTTAAGGGCGTGGTCACAAACATTTTCCCAGGAGCTTTTGCCCCACGAACTCCAAAACCTCTCAGCAGCTCTGATTATAAGGATGGAAACATGTTACATGTGGAATCTGAAATTTCCCTTTTAATTTAGGTGACTCTAGCTTGTCTTCAACAACATAATTTTATCGCATAATTGAAGTTTTTGAGCCAAAAATCGGTAACTATTTTTTCCAAACGGAATTATTTTTTCAGTCTGGTAAAATAGTAGCCTGGGTCGAGGAAAATGTAGGTGTGGGTAAATTTGCTCCTTGATTTTTTTAAATTATTGAAATTTTTAATTTATATTTATATTTAAATTTTTAAATTTTAAATTTTTAAATTATAATTACTAGAATGCAGCTGTTAGTGTGGATAACCAACAGAAACCTGAAGCGAAACGTTCTGCGATTCCTCCAGAAGACCTGTTGTACACATTTCACCCCGACAAGCTTCCGCGTGCCCGGCAGATTATGTATCAACTATGCGATCTGTATGACGATGAGGTTCAACAGATCATATCCGAGAATAATGGCAAGGTAAAATATAAGCCGTTTTTACTCGTTGTTGCTTTAACAGCCCGTCATCTTGGCCTATGTTTGCATTGGTGGTTTCAATTTACTTAAATAATTGATGAAAGTTTTGTACTGCCAATTCACTTTTCGTCCAGCAATCCACAGAGAAAACGTCAGGTAATGACCTGATTGAATTTTTGGTTCCAGTTGTTGAAAGAAATTAACGTGAGACTAAGAACCAGGGTCGATAGGTTGCTTCCAGACCCTCAGGCCGAATTCGTTTGCAAAAGAGCCAAATATGGCCAAATTGATATCGAGGCAGGAGAACAATAGAATTAAGTTTTTTGAATGAAAAACTAAACCAAAGTCTCCTGAAGGCATAAAATTGGCTCGTGAAGCTTCTTCTGTGAAGTTTCATTTGCCAACGCATTTTCTGTCCAATCAGAACCTTTTTATACCCATGCATAATTTTCTTCAAATGAACTGGAATACGAATACTTTATGCTACTATCATTCAAACTTGTCTACTTATCACAAATTCTTTACATTGACTGAATAGAATGATTTTGTAAAAGGATTTATATTTACTGATTTGTGATTTTTATGTGCACGTACTTTGGGTGCAAAAGAAAATAAGTATGTTTTCTGGTATGGTTCTTATACCACAATATTACATTCTTATGTCACATATCTCATGAAATTCAATTCAATGAATCACAGGAACATTGCATGAATATCGCCATATGGGATGTGCTTATTAAACGTAATTATCCTCAAGTGTACTGCTGAATAAGTCTAGCTGTTGGCATCTCCATAATTCAGTCTCAGAAATTTAGTTTGGTATTTGTTTTCACAACCGCTTCGGTTTATAATACCTTATCCCGGTTTCTTTAGACGCTGGTACCTATAGTTAGTGAGCACTTACCGGTTTTGTTTACCGAGACAATCGGTGAATGCATATCTTTTTTTAATGCTGGGCTTTTGCTTTGAAATTGCCACTTGTATCGATGCTTCTTAATTTCGGCATCCTGTTTGTCTTCTTAATATTGCCTATGGCTTCTTTCAATTCATTGATGGCTTGTGTTCTTAGAATATTGTGGATTTATTTTTATATTCCATTAAAAAGTTTACAATGCATATTACATACTACTTTACCTACAAATACTTTGCAATATTACAAGAACTATACCACGCGGAGCAAAAGACTATGACTACCCCCATGGCGTTTGAAAGAAAAGGTAAAACTACATTCAATTTTAAAAATTACTACTTTAGAAAGGGAAACTTTTTTCTTTTTTTTTCTTTTTATAATTTATAATGTTAAACTACAACACAGCTACTCAAATACATGTCACTCACAATAGTGAAGGACGCAAGGTCATCTAGTCTCCATTATGAGTGAAATTTGCAATTTTCAATTACATCTAAATATTAACACAAAAAAAGGGAGAGAAGTAAAAGAAACTAAATCAGGAAAAGTAAGGTACCTCTAGAAAAATTTACACACACATTTTTGGAAACTTTGTTTGGTATTAAAAGATTTGGTGGTTGTTGCATGCATACGGTTAGATTTTGAAATTATATCAGTCAAATCGACCAGCTGAGCGGACGAGACGTAAGGTCAATTCGAGTATATTCGAGTTCAAGTCATCAGAAAGGTTTTCATCACCGTATAAAATTGGCTGTGTCAAGGCATTGTTGGTGACTGGGACAAATGGCCGTAATAATTGAGCAATTCCAGCGAGAAGATCTCTTTGCTGAACATCAAAAGAAGGGCGGAGCAACAAAAGGTGCTCAGTATCTTCAATGCCATCACTCATTGGGCACATTGGGTTCACTGTATCCTTAAAATTGTGCTTGAATTTGTGGGCATAGGTTATTTATGTATGAACTGGGCTTAGGCTATTTATAAATTTGTAAAACAAAGTGAGGCGTCTTCTCCATCTACGGCAACTAAGTGGCTCCCAGCAAAGCTCTGCGTATAATTTTCCACGAGCAGCAGAGTACTGGACAGATTCTAACTTATTTCAGCATACCAATGCTGAAAAAGGAAGCTTTGAATCCAGGATAATTCCTATATTTTTATGCTCATCTACTCTCTTCACAGGTATGTTATTTAAGAGGATCACTGGATGATCAATTTCAATTTTTTTTCTTGAAAAGACTAATTCAACAGCTTCTTTTGAAAGACATTCTCCAATTTTGACCAAACTGTTTTATGGACATGATTCATATCATTAGTAGCTGTATTGGAATCTTTAACAACCGTGAATAATAATGTATGATTTGAATAATCATTTGAAAACAACTGAACATTACATTTTAGGCCTAGAGCTAGATCATTTATATACAAGATAAAATAAGGGTCCTAGAATTGAGCCCTGGGGCACCCCTGCTGAAATATCTCCCCATTTAGAACTCTTCCCACTAAAAACGTTTTGTTGTTTTTGATCCCTAAGAAAGCTTTGGATAAGAGAAAGGAGTTGTCCTGAGACGCCGCAGCGTTTTGATTTAAAAATTGGACCATCATACCACACCTTATCAAATGCTTTAGAAATGTCAAGATATACAGAATGAACATGAAGAGGAGGGCTGCCAATAAATGCTTTCGATATTGTATTTGTTATTGAAAGTAACTGGTTCACTGTTGTATCTTCTGGACGAAAACCAGACTGGTTTGGGTCTAGTACCTTACATCATATAAGATGCGAGTATAGAGAGTCATATATAAGTTTTTCAAGTATTTTTGCCAAAATAGGTAACAGAAAAATAGGACGGTAGTTCTCCTCTAGATTTTTCTCATTTTTCTTATGAACCGGTACTACGTTTGCGTGTTTCCATGTATCGGGAAATAAGCCACGCCTCAGACAGTACGTAAATATGATCTTAAGTGGAAGAACCAATCGTTCAACTTTATCATTCTCACAGGTATTTCATCGCAGCATCGTTCAACTTTATCATTCTCACAGGTATTTCATCGCAGCCATGTGCTTTGTTAGGATTTAAAGATCTTATGATATTCAGGATTTTTAAACCAGAGATGTGAAAATCACTTATCAGAGCAGTAGCTACAAGAGCATCTTGAGGAATTTCACATCCTGTGTTGATGGTTGTACATTGAATTACGAAGTAGTCATTAAATAGCTGTACCTTTTCGGTAATGTCTGTTACAAATAACCCATTCTCTAAATGTGTTTTCTAGAATTTTCATTTTGTTTAGAACTGTGTTTATTAGATTCTAGTAGGTTTTACTACCAGTCCCAAGATCAGGCAAGGTTTTTCCTGCCTTAAGAAAGTAATTTCGCTTTGCCTCCTCAATCAGTATCGTGTCTTCAGTTGTCATCTTTTGTATACCTTCAAACTTTTATATGCACGATTTTTCTTCCTTAAGAAGTTTTTGATAGCTAGCGTTATCCAGGGTGACTTGCTAGGCCTAATTGTTGTAACTTTTTTAGGAATGAAATTTGAATAGTTACTCATTTATTGGGAAGTTTAACCTGTTCGTTAGGGCATGTCATATTATCACGATGTTCGTGCCAACGAAGCTTTTCAATGTTTTCATGATGGCGAAAAAATACTGGATATGTGATATTGTGGTATAAGAACAATAGCAGAGAACATATTTATTTTCTTTTGCACCCAAAGTACGTGCACATAAAAACCACAAATCAGTCAATATAAATAATTCTACAAAATCATTCTATTCAGTCAATATAAAGAATTTGTGATAAGTAGACAAGTTTGAATGATAGTAGCATAAAGTATTCGTATTTCAGTTCATTTGAAGAAAATTATGCATGGGTATAAAAAGGTTCTGATTGGACAGAAAATGCGTTGTCAGATGAAACTTCACAGAAGAAGCCTCACGAGTCAATTTTATGCCTTCAGGAGACTTTGGTTTAGTTTTTCATTCAAAAAAATTAATTCTATTGTTCTCCTGCCTGGAAGTCAATCGGCCATTTTACTACCAGTCCCAAAATCAGCCAAGGTTTTCCCTGCCTTAAGAGAGCAGTTTCGCTTTGCCTCCTCAATCAGTCTCGTGCCTTCAGTTGTCATCTTTTGTATACCTTCAAGCTCCTTTCCGTTTTATCGGTGACCGTGACCAGCCAATTGTGTTTACTAGACGAAAAATTATTGTTTGCCCTGCCATCGACTTAAAGGCTCTTGCGCAACCGGCATGCTTAGCGATAGTTGTCTTGGGAAATTGACTGTGTTTTGTATTTTCATGCAGTACGATATTAGGCCTGTTCTTTGAATTTTCTACCTTATCGCATCTGAATTAGACTAAAATAATATTACGCTTCAATAACAATGAGCTTATGCATGTTGAAACGATTATCATTCACTACAGTTTTCTTTTCTATTTGAAATAGCATTCAATGAGTTTGCCGATGTCTGCATTTAATATAGTGCTTTTTTGCATATCCTGTTTAATTTTTCATACTTTTCTAGAAATGTCATACTATTTTAAGACTTGTCATTCGTAAGCAGCTCTTTCTTATTTTTTTTCATTTTTTTCGAATTTTCACTTGTCACACTATGTATACTTAGAAATCCTTTTGTTGTCTACAGCTGCCATACTTTTTCAGTTTACTTTTTTATTCAATTGAGATTTTTGACATGAGAGTTTAATTGTTTAGATATAATTTGCCTGTGAATGAATAATTAAATTTGCGATTTCCGTCTCTTTCAAATATTTTGACAACGAAGTTGCTAGACGAATGCAACTATTCAAGGTTGGTTATCCAACTTGCAGGGGTCTCAATTGCTAAAAACTTATGCGATTTTATAAAACGGAGGAATTTAGAATTGTACTAGCTCCCCTACGAAGCCCGCTACGCGGGCTTGCCAGTGGCCCTACGGTTGAATATTAAGATTAGCCTTGGAAAGACAAGAGTGGCCCTACAGTTGAATATTGAGATTAGCCTTGGAAAGACAAGAGTGCCATAAACCTCGATTCCAAAATGAGAAGAGGTCACGTGATAAAAAAATTGCTTGCACTCCTGTGCGAATTAAATTCACACTTTTGTGACTATCGCTAGGAAGGGGGGAGCCTTAAAAGAAAGATGGGGTTGAGGCTCCCCCCTTCCTAGCGATAGTCACAAAAGTGTGAATTTAATTCGCACAGGAGTGCAAGCAATTTTTTTATCACGTGACCTCTTCTCATTTTGGAATCGAGGTTTATGGCACTCTTGTCTTTCCAAGGCTAATCTCAATATTCAACTGTAGGGCCACTCTTGTCTTTCCAAGGCTAATCTTAATATTCAACCGTAGGGCCACTGGCAAGCCCGCGTAGCGGGCTTCGTAGGGGAGCTAGTCTTCTGTTAATCGAAATGTGCATTCTTTCAATTTGATACATTACATTTGTCATGTAGAGGCAGGGTTGAAAGTTGTTTAAAAACATTTTGCAAGCCCCGGTCTATTCGTGGTCCTCGTTTAAATATTTTCACGTGTTACCCTCTTCATTTCTCCTGTTTATTCTAATTGCAATGTTTTTAAGTGTCCATCTTTTTTTATCTCTTGATGAATCGTTGAAATACTTTGCAGGCTTATCTAAAAGCTCTGCCTATTATTCTGAATTCTACTTTAAAGCTTGACAACAACATGCTTCTGCCTGCCCCCACCAATTATTAATCCTCGTTGACATAATTTCATGGGTTATTCCTAAAAGTTCTCCTATTTAGTCAGAATCAAATTTTAAAGTTCTCCAACAAATTTTAAAATTTTCTAGTCGTACACTCTTAGCCCTTGTCGACTTAAAGGGGCTTTTTTTAAATATTTTCTAAGGTCATTCTTAGAGCTGTAATGTTCATTTTAAAGCACTTCGTTCAATCTTTGTTCACTTGTGATGCTGTTTTAAGACATAATTGCGGGCCACCCTCAAAGCTCCCTGTTTATTCTGAATCAAATATTAAAATTTTCCAACACAATATTCCTGTTAGCCGTTATTGGTCCATGGTGCTCGTTTAGACAAACATCATCTGAAAATTTCTTAAGAATAAAAATTCCTAAAAAAGTATGTTGATTCATAAAAAATGTTAACGATTTCTGATCTAAACTCCAAAGAATTAAAATAATTACACAGTTATTTCATTTGAGGGCCTGGTATCATATCTTCGTCACAATTAGCTTTTAAAACACTACAGCAACAAAGCACTTAAGAAATTGAGAGATAGAAAACAGCAAAAGTTTCGTGCATCAGAAAGGATTCTTACTCAAACAACAAATTAACAAAATACAATTCATGGACAACTGCTAATCTTCACAGATTTAGTAATTTTCTCCACAGTCATGGTTTTTTCTTGTTTCTTTGTTCGATTTACGCCAGCATAAATGCCATAAATTTCGTTTCGAAGGGGTTGAGGATCACGTCTGCGTCATAATTATTGCTTGAAACGATCTTTGATCTAGATGAAGAACAAAAAAATAATGAAGATGTTATTCCATGGTTAATGAAAGCACGTTCTAAGGAAATCGATGGTCATAATGCTTTGTAAAATTTCAGAAAAAACGTTCGCCCCGAGAGCTTAGCCACCCCTTTAGCGACTGGTTTTTAGTATAATTTCATCAAATTAAGCATAAAATCATTTGAAATTGTTCTTGTTAAGCGAGCAATATAGCAAATCCATTTTCCTTTAAGGACAAAACTACGAAGAGGTAAAAATTTAAGAGAAACACGTTCGTGGCGGGTCTAGCGACTCCTTTTAGCAACCGGTTTTTAGTGTGATTTCGCCCAAATAAGCATAAAGTCATTTGAAATGATTTCTAGAATGATTCACTTACAATTGCGAAAATGCTGTCAAAGCTATAAATAATTCTAACTTGAGAGGCAGGCAAATCCTATTTGTCTCGGTGGGAAAATCTTTTAATCGAAAAATTACTCACTTGTTGTACCAAAAAGTCAGCGAATCCGATCGTTCATCTACAAAAAAGGAAGGAAGGCGGTTAGGAAAAGTTGCTGCAAAGGATTCTCGTTAGGCATAAAAAGTTGGGGGCTGGCATTACATAATTCGCATTACAACGGGTTTCCTATGAAAATCAAATTTCCTTGCATCAAGAATAAACAGCAGTTGATTGCAATAAAGCCAATCCAGTTTCCTTTTAGCACAAAACCACGAGAAGAAGTAAAAATGTTTCGTTCGCGGTGGGGGTCTAGCGGCCGGTTTTAGTGAAATTTCCTCGAAATGAGCACGAAACCATTTGAAATAAGGAATATCGAAAACACGTAAGAACAACAACGCTTACCTGTATTCGGTTGCCATCGATTCTGATGCCAGTGAAGAAGGGGAACAGCCAGCAGCCATCGCAGAACCAAAAAAACGGGCAGCAGCGTGTGTACCGTACGTACGTAGCTATTAAAACGAAAAGGAAGATTGTCAAAAGCACGAATTACATGGCTCTTGCAAACGAAATAAGAAACGGGGTTCAATCGTCGATCAATAAAAAACCAGTTGATAAAAAAAGCCAAGGAGACTCACCTGAGATCGAGAGCAGCTACTAATGACTGAAGCCTTAAGCTGTAGCACAGACCACGACCGTCGAGGATCGCTTCGAGTTCGAAAAGGAATGCCAAGCAGCAGTGCACGTAGATTTATTATTAGCTATCCTCTCCTCTAACTACGAAAAATCCAATGGATCCTTTGTGGAAAGCGAAACGAATTTGAAAAGCCTCCGTTCAAATTGAAGGGTTGCTGGAGGAAAAAGTTTTGAAATCTTTTGTAGAGAGCAAGAGAAAAGAGAGAGAAAGGACCTTCAGAAACGCGGGACAAAGACCACGGAGAGCACTAATGGTGATCGAGACGATGCCTCAGAAAACGCCAAATATCTCGAGAAAAAAGGCAGGAAAAAAACGTTATACCTTTATGATAGCAAATCAATTATCTAGCTTCGATTTGAGACCTTGCCGGGGAAGATCCGCTCTGCCCTTCGGGGAGATAAAGGGGTTGAACCGCCGTGCGGTGTGGCAATCTTTTGCAGAGAGTAAGAGAAAAGAGAGAGAAAGAACCTTTAGAAACACGGGACAAAGACCACGGAGAGCACTAACGGTGATCGAGACGATGCTTCAGAAAACGCCAAATATCTCGAGAAAAAAGGCAGCAAAAAAAACGTTATATCTTTACGATAGCAAATCAATTATCTAGCTTCGATTTGAGACCTTGCCGGGGAAAATCCGCTCTGCCCTTCGGGGAGATAAAGGGGTTGAACCGCCGGGCGGTGTGGCAATCTTTTGCAGAGAGTAAGAGAAAAGAGAGAGAAAGAACCTTTAGAAACACGGGACAAAGACCACGGAGAGCATTAACGGTGATCGAGACGATGCCTCAGAAAACGCCAAATATCTCGAGAAACAAGGCAGGAAAAAAAACATTATACCTTTATGATAGCAAATCAATTATCTAGCTTCGATTTGAGACCTTGCCGGGGAAGATCCGCTCTGCCCTTCGGGGAGAAAAAGGGGTTGAACCGCCGTGCGGTGTGGATCTTTTGTTCGGAGCTCATTTGCATATCCGCATATTAGTATTAGTAGATTCTATTTGAATATATAAACGATAGCAAGAAAACATTTTGTATTTACTATGTGAATTTCCATAAACGCAGCACACTATCTCCATATTTCATGTGAATTTATGAACCATGGCAAGGAAGATTTTGCATTTGCCATTTGAGTTTGCATAAACACAGCAAACTGCCACTATATTTACCATTGCAGTTTGCATGACAGAACAATTGACATGTTTGCATTTAGCAAGAAACATCACCACAGTAAGCTATCTAGGTATTTACCGATTTATATTGCAAACATTGGTTCTGCAGATTCAGCTTATATGTTTTAGATTCTGCAGATTTGTTGCAAAGCCACAGTAAACTATTCTACATTTACCAAGCAAAGTGTGCCTAATGTTAGTAAATTCATTGTAAAATGTAAAATAGATTTGCATAACTACAGCAAATCAATTCTATATATATAAATATTGAGCAAGTTTAGTATTAACAATATAGCACGTTTTACATTGAACCAATAAGTTCGCTCTCAACAAAAAGGCTTGCCTAAAGTAGCAAAATACAGATTGCTCAAACCAATCAAATTTGCACCAGAACAAAAGGGGGCACACAATGCATTCATAAATAGGCAAAAACAACAAACATTTTATGCATTTGCCTATCATGATTGATGAAAACAGAGAGCAAAGTTGCCAGCGCATTTTTTCTAAATTGTTTAGCTCTGCTGCTATACAAATTACATCAAAATACTTGTATTACATACAATAAGTTTTGTTTTTGTTGTTGTTGTTGTTGAAAATATAGCGTGTAGTTAGTTGGAAGTTTGTTGCCATGGTGACTAGTGGCACTTATAATAATGTAATAAGATATCTTCAAAATGCAATAAAAGCTACTATATTTCAGCTTACGGAAAGCATACGGATTAAAAAGCAAAGTGCAGATAAATGTCCACGTACCTCAGATTCACTCTAAGTGTTCCTGCACAATCTTGCGAAAATCCTTAAAAATCTTTTTAATTATTGTAACCAAAAAGGACGTTCAATGAAACCGAAACCGAAGGGCATGGCCGCAGCAATTTTCTGAACGGGGTCTTGTTTTGTCTATAACCACTGGGCACAAGCCGGCTAAAGACGGCCCTGCTTTTTGGTATCATCTTGCTGTAGGCAATAGTTTCATTTTGTTAGGAAAAGTAATCAAAGGAATAGACCAATTGGGGTTATCTAAAAACAGTAAACTGGCAATCAGGATGTTTCAGGGGGCATTGCCGAGACCACAGTGTTAAAAATGTTATTATGTAACTCGAGCGAAGTTTTGGTGCCAGACTGAGGTGAACACTACCGTGAGGGCCCACTTAACCACAGCCAAGCAAGCAATGTGACATTACCAAAACCATGAAAACAATCCTTAGTCAATTTATTGGTTCATTTGATTATTGATTTTTGTTGAAACAAGATCAAACTGATATTCGAACTTTACAGGTGTGTTTGCGAAACTAAAGTATGAAGGTTAGGACACTGGGAGCAATATTGGGCTCGCTAAGCGTTTACTATGACCATACTGGCAGGTTTGTTAAACCACAGTATCACTGCTTTAAACGGAGGGCGGCAGTGTGATGCAGCCAAAGCAAGGACCTGCTGAATTGTGTGCAATGCCGATGGGTGTCACTTAATTGGATCTCGATACTTTTAAAAGGCTAAAAAAAAACTGATCCTAGATGGACCATGTAACGTGTCCAGAAACTTTTGCTGGCATGACTGTACAATCTAATGCTGGTGTTAATTTCCTCCACGTAAATATAAAATAACGGGGCAGTTTGCCACACACCCCTTACGCCAACAATGACAACACAAAGATACTTTTTGCTATTGAGGGGATTTTAGAGACAGCGTTTGTTAAATCCCAGATGAATGGAACCAAGGAGCCTGCGCCAGGAGAGCAGCTAGGGCAGTTGCCCCTGACCTCGCGACATTGAGCATTTTTCTTCGTTTGACTATTGTACGGGCTATTGTTTTGCCCTTTTTTCTCTACGCTTTGCCCCCGTTGCCATCTCTGAGTACAGGCATCCCTGCCTTGGACAAGAACATGACAGGGTAAATTAGTTGAAAGAATAAGAACAAATAACAACAAGCAGGTATTCGTGGTGGATGTGTTTGATTGGGCGGCCTGGCATGTGGCTTTACCGAGAGGCAGCACTGTGGTCTTTGAATACTGCCCCCTAATTTGTCGTATTTATGGTGGAGATATGAGGCTCCAGGGTTGGTATGATGAAAAACGGCAGGAAATAGTGGATCGAAAAATTAAAAACAAATAACCTACAAACCATGCTACAGCCAATGTAGAAAAAAAAAATGCTGGTACAACCTTTTCTCTGGAGCACGTGATAGAATCGAGATGCAGGGTAACTGAAACTGTAATAGCAGTAGACAGCAGCCACTGAGCGCTTGACCTGAACTGCTATAACTCTCGATAACTCTGCCAAGACCTAACAACCAGTACCTGCAACTTTCCAGCCATGCTATGACAACAGTAAGCAACGGTCGAAATCATGACCATGATCAGCGTCCGGCCATTTGACGGTAGGACTATGTCCTTCATTAGCGGGTTTCAAATAAGTTACACTTTCGCAGAATAGTTCACTTCTCTACAGAGAAAACGCGTACAAACAACGCGTGAGTCTTGCTGCAAAATATGACATGACCCTAGCTGCATCGCTGTACTTAAACAAATATGCCAGGAAAAGACCACCAAGAAAATACCACAAGGTGATTAGCAAATAGCTAAGGTAACATGATATCCACAGCCTACTAAGGATATACGTGTGGGACCACCCGATTCTAGAAAAGGGGAATCTGCGCACTTTCCCCGCGGGTATTAACTCGAATTAAACGATTAATTCCCATTGTATCTAGAC